AGGTCATTGCAGAGACAATAGTATCTAGTTTAACGTGAATTTTTTTTTAGATTTCATCCACGGAGAAGGCCGGAATCACTGCAGCAGTGAAGGACCTTTTTTTCGCGCCGTTGGAGATCGACTATAACTTAAAAAATATTTAATTTTTTTCTTCAAAAATTTCACTGTATATTCTTGAAACATGTATAAATATATTCTTAAAATTTTGAAATAATTGGTAAAGTATTTTTTTTTAATAATAATTCCCGAAATGCACCTTTTTTTTAGGCCATTAAACTAGGTGTGCCCCTTAAATTAAATCTCACATATCTAATCTCGCAAGAAACAAATTTAGAATTTGCATTTGCATAGAAACTACGAAAAAATGTCTGAAAGCCATAGCGCTTCCACTCAAATATGTACTATGTATATTTTTATCAACAAGTATGTATATAGGGTGTGTATACAGCTCTAAAAACAAATGACTCCTATTGTTTTCATATTAATCCTAATTTATTTATTTATTAATAGAATTAATTAACTGATAGCTCTCAATGTTTTTTTTTTAGTTTTAGCAGCTGATAATATTACATACATATTTATGTACAATATGTATGTATGTATATCGCTTTTATTGTTGCCGACTAACAAATGTTACTTGTTATGATTTGTTGCGTCATTGTCAACAGAAAATTTTTATTAATCATAATAGTATATACATATACATATGTATTTATCTACAATTTTTTAATTTTTTTTTATTATTATTTGGTTTGTATTATAACTATGACACACTGCTAATAAAGCTGCTGAAATGCATGAAGAAAAAAATGTATGTGCTTATCGTGTGAGTGTGTGCGTGTATAAACAAATAACGAGTGGGAAAAAGTTATCTTACAAAAAAAAAAAAACATTAACAATGAAATTGTACTACAATATGCGTTCATGAGCTTGAATAAATTTAAAATATTCACATACATATGTATGTAAGTGCATATGGACATATGTATGTACATACATAGTACATGTATAGTTCTTCAGAAGATGTCTCGTATTTTAATATGATTCATAAATGTTAAAAATCAAATAATCAAAATTAATAAAAACAATTACAAGACTGTTATGAAATTATTATTTATAATATTTTATTATTTAAAAATAAATATTTTTTTTTATTAATTATTTTTAATAAATTAAACAAAAATTTTGGACATACAATTAAAGTTTTGTTGAAAGTAAAAAAAAAATTAATTAATTAAAATTAAGTAAAGTGTAATAAAATTTCCCAAGTGCAGCCCATACTGGCCCCTAGAAGTATGCTTCTTTAATGGTGCAGTGACTCACGCCACATGTCGGTTAACCTAATAAAATGTGGACGCGCCTAGCAGTATTTAATTATCAAACCCATGCGGAAAGTGTTTAGTGCTTTCTTTATAAATTAACAATTATTGTTTTTTTTTTTTTCAAATTATGAAAGTGCTTTCTTTTATCAATATTCTCTATCAAAATGTTTAAAAATGAATGAAATGTTCTTCGTATAAAGACTGAACTTATTTCCACTTTATAAAAAAAAAGCTTTTTGGAATGTCTGTTCGAAAATTTTCGGCAAAAACAAATTAAAAAATTATTTATTGCTGCTGTGAAGAAAAAGAGAAGACAACTGTGTTATGTATGTACGTGGAACAAATGCTAAAATAGCAATTTGAAGAGTAATATTCCAAATAAAAGTTTATCGTGCGCAGCGATAAATTTCTAAACTCAAAATATACTGGTCATTTTGGCTCATATTTAAACATATTTATTGTACATATATAAATATATGCATAGTATCTACCTTAACCAATCAAAATGAACTATTGTACTTAAAAAATATACAAAAAGTGGTGTTGCGACCTAAAAAAAAACTTTATCAGAAGTGGGATAAATATAACGATAACGTTTAATATCAACTGTGTATATTTTTTAAGGTAACTCGATTATAGAGTTGTGTGCACAATGAATTCGCCTGTTCAAAATGACAAAAAGATTTATTATTTGAGTCTTATAAGTCGTTTGCATGAAGTTATTCGTAAAAATGGGTTTTGCTCCACTACAATGCACACCCTCGCACTACACTGTCTCTTCGTGAGTTTTTCAAAACGAAAATTCAGTTCATATTGGAAGGAGAAGCTGATAAAGTAGATTTAGAAGAAAAGCTGTATGTATATTTTGAAAGTTATAACGGAAACTGTATATATGAAAAAGGCAGATCACGAGCCTTCGGAGGAGGTACTTATTATCGTTTATATTCTTCAACCTAATTATGCTATACAAATTAATAAGAACTGCAGAGCTAAATAGAGAAGAGCGTACAAGTGCTGTCGTCTGTCTTTGATTTGGTTATACGTTATTAGTCTCCACAACCTCGCCATTAGTGGTGCTTTCTTCAGACTGGATAAGAAAGCAAAGCGAGTACCTTACATTTTACTGTGAACAGTACTTGTCTAACTAGGAACCAGTATTACCACCAATAATAGTCCAACACAGAATCACTCTTACCAACAGGTCTCACTTCGAAGTGAGTAGGCCATAGAAAGGTAAGGTCCGCTCTCGGCAAACAAAGTTCAAACCTTACAAGTCGCTCATCTTTCCCGTCCTATTATATGGCGCAGAGGTGTAGACGATGTCAACAGCTGATGAGTCGGCTTTGGGAGTCTTCGAGGGAAAGGTTTTGCGAACGATTTATGGTCCTTTGCACATTGGCAAAGGCGAATACCGCAGACGATGGAACGCTGAGCTGTAAGAGTTATACGGCAACATTGATATAACTCAGCGAATCAAGAAGCAGCAGTACCCGCTATTGGAAGCAGAGGAAAAGGAAGACCTTCACTCCCTTGGAAGGATCAGGTGGAAAGTATCGTGAATTCACTTGGTATTTCCAACTGGCGCCAAACAGCGCAAAAAAAAGGATGAATAATTGGTTCGGCTATAATCCCGTAAGCGATGCCAACGCCAATAAAGAAGAATATAGACGATAGAACGCTGAGCTGTAGGAGAGATACACGAAGGCATTAACATGATTTGACGAAATAAAAAACAGCGTCTACGTCAACTATGTCGTGCTGATAGATGAAAGCCTTTTAGCTCTGCAAGTGTTTGTTGCAGAACCCGCCGGTTGTGGTAGATAAAGAGGCAGATATTCAATACGTTGAAAGAATCAATTAGCGAAGGAGCCGATTTTACTTCACTTGGTGTCTCCAATAAGCTAAAATATGAACAGATTTACGCTATTGTTCATGCGGCTATAGTCACTGAAGTCTCTAACATAACCTATACTCCTCAAATCACCCGCACGCATTGTCCAAACAACAATATTGATGCTAATTTATACAATTGAATTTGTGCTAACGCAAAACTCAACAGCCAAACAAACAAATAAACGCAAATCATGCAGTTAAATAAAAAAAATTATTGTTAAAAGATTTGCTATGTGGACTTTAGACCATTGCCAAAAATGCAAATTCTTTTTTTTATTTGTTAAAGGTGTGTTCACAACAAAAAAAAAACACACACACACACACAAACTGTGTCATAACAACACTGCTTTCATAATTTTCAGCAATGACGTAAAGTAAATCAAACGAGCAAATATGGATATTTAGTAAATAAAATGCTTTTGGTTTTTGTTTTTATTTTATTTTTCATTAATTGCCACTAAACCAGTTGGATACGTTGTCGCAACAAGTTACTTACTTACTAGTTACTCTCTCTACTATGTCAGTTACGAGTAAGAGTAGGTGACTAACTTCCCAGTCAGTCAGTCAGTCAGCACACACACACACACACCCACTGAACACCTCTACAAGATCCAACAAAGTGGTTGGCTAGCGTGCCAGCTACTCGCTGAACCATGCACACATTCGCTTTTGTTTTGGATATTCGTTTACTCGTTCGACAAGTGTGGCTCGTCTGTTGCTGCACAAGTATGAGGAAATCTGCCAAGCAGGCCACTGACTGACTAAAGGCAAGCAGGCGGCGGCTATTTGTAAAGAGTGATTTTTTTTGGCTATTACCTTTGTGGCAACACTAGTTTAAACAGCTGACGCACGTTTCTTCAGTCTGGTCTATAATCCCATGAATCGTCTGACAAACGAGCAACGCTTGCAAATTATTGAATTTTATTACCAAAATGCGTGCTCTGTTAAGAAATTTCATTGCGCGCTTCTTCTACGTGCGCTTCGAAGCTAATTTTTAGCTTAATTGGTGTATAAATAAGCCGAATTGTCGATTTTGGAGTGAAGATTAGCCAGAAGCATGGCAAACGCCACGAAAGCATCCAGAAAAAGTCACAGTTTGGTACGGTTTATGGGCTGTTGGCTTCATTGGACCGTACTTCTAAGGTAAACTTTTTTTTGCTTTAAATGCAAGAGCTTGACTTGCGTGACATGTGGTTTCAACAAGACCGTGCCGCAAGCCACACGGCACGCGTAGCAATGGACTTATTGAGAGGCGAGTTCGATGAAGATTTCATTTCACATATCGGGCCGGTCAATTGGCCGCCTAGATCGTGCGATTTAACGCTTTTACACGATTTTTTGTGGGGCAGTGTTAAATCTAATGTCTACACAGACAAGCCCGCTTCAATTGGCGCTTTAGAGGACAACATTGAAGCTTTTAGTCGTGAGATACCGTCTGAAATGTTGGAAAGAGTATGCCAAAATTGTGCTAAGCGGATGGAACATTTGAGGCGCAGTCACGATCAATATTTGCATGTGATAATCTTCAAACAATAAATTATATGGACCGTACTAACGATTCATTTTTTTTTTTTTTTTTTTTTTTTTTTTTTTTTTTTTTTTTTTTTTGAAAAACTTTCCTATAGCTTTTAAAAAATCACCCTTTACATGTACACGCCACAATCTCACTGGCTCTTGCTTGCCATCAGGCAAACATATGAGCTGAGCTGAGCTGTGCTGATTTGTTGCTTTTCGGTTGTTTTTATCCACAATTTCCTTGTCTTTTCCAATGCAAAGTCAGTTCATTTTGAGTTTTCGCTTTGTACGGTTTGATATTGCTGCCGCTTTTGCGAGCTGCTTACATGCAAGTAATTGGAGAATTCTACTTAAACGAGTACGTGCATACATACATACATATGTATATACTCGAATGTAACGTGTTGTGTATAAATTTGTGGAACTTTGAACGTTTCTATTGTAAACAGTTTGCATTATAGCAATTAAATATATGTATGTATTTATATTTATAGTTGTGTTGTGTGCGCGTTTTCGTTGCAAAGGTCTTTGTTTGTTTCTTATTTCTACAAATTTATTGCCGCAATTCTTTTGTTTGCTTAATTCTTCAGAAGTTCTTGCAAATATTGTTGAAATTGCAAGCTGTGCGCGGTGAATCAGTGAAATGTGCATACGTGTATGTATTTTTTTTTTTAATTTTAATTATTGTATTAACATTACATATATGTAGATGTATTGTACATACGAGGTGTGTTCAAAAAGTATCGCGAATTTTGAATTTTCGCGGGTTACGTATAATCGAATTTCGATTTTTTTGTGGCGTTATGTTGGTACTCATGTCTGTTACTTATGCCGACAAGCTCAGCCATTTTGAATGTTCACTTAATTGTTGACAGCTGCTTTGCTTGCACGTGGTTTATATGGTCTTCGATTTTTACCTATTCGAAAAAAATGAATCAAAGAACCTGTATCAAATTTTGTGTGAAAAACGGTGGTACAAAATGTTCTCAGAAGGCCGAGAAGATGTGAGCGACCAAGAGCGTGCCGGACGCCCGAGCACTTCAACAACAGACGTCATGAGTTCTTGACACAAGGTAGAACGGTCAGTAAGGAATATTACCTGCAAGTCATACGCAATTTGCGTGAAGCAATCCGCCAGAAAAGCCCGGATTTGTGGAAGAACAAAAATTGGCTGACACATCGTTGTTTGTGCCCGACTTTTTGGCCAAAAACAACACACTAATGATGCCGCAGCCACCGTATTCCCCAGATCTGGCCCCCTGTGACTTTTTCTTGTTCCCTAAACTGAAGAGGCCCATGAAAGGATGACGTTACGCTACGATTCACGAGATAAAGGCTGCAACTACCCAACGCGCGTACCAGCCGTTCATAGTAACCTATCTTATGAGAGCGCCATGTAAACACAATGTTATCACCGCTTTCCCATAGCGTTGCTGACGTTTGTGTCGCAGAAACCAACGAAGTTTTGATTTTTTCCGTAAAACCGGCTCGGCTCATTTCTCGTTGCTATACAAGGTTGCCAGTATAGCCTTTCTTAAGGTAACGTGAAATAATGCGTAGTTTTGTTCAAAAGAAATGAAAATTAAATGCGTAACTAATTATTTGTTACCATATAGATCATGTATATTTGCCTTGTGTTTATGTTCAGCAAATAAATTATGAAATTCGTTGACGAAAATTATGAATTTATTCAAAAATATGCAAACACACAGGCAGCTGGCAACATTTCTCCGCTCTCAGCGGCGTCGATAACTCGTGTATGTATTTCACTACTGACGTCGTCAGTTATGGACGGCTGGTACGCGCGTTGGGTAGTTGCAGCCAAAGACGGTATCGAAGGAGGAGCTGAACAAGATAAAAAAAGGTTGTTTAAAGTGCTTCGAAGATTGAAAAAACCGTTGGCACAAGTGTATAATATATCATGGGGGATCACTTTGAAGGGGACAAAATATATATTCATGTATAAATAAATAATTTTTGAAAAAAACACAAAATTCGCGATATTTTTTGAACACACCTCGTACATACATACAAACATATCTGTATTTATATTTATTTCTACAATGTGTTTTGTTCATTTGTTTACCTGCAAATGTAAGCGCATAAACAATTGCATTTGCACACTTCAAAGCGAATAACTCAACTGCATACATACGTACATATGTCGACATAGACAATTGCACATTTCCAAATGAATTTTTGTTGCTTAATAATTGTGCAATATTATAAAATCGATATGGCTATGTGTGCAATAGCGGTATTAATAAGTTCGTTATAATTTGAGTAGCAAGATAATTTTGAATGAGCACTCTACGGTTGAGCATTAGGGCGGTACTAAAATGTTGAACAAAAATTATTGATGATGTAGTTCGGGCGAAAACCTATGCAGCGGTCATAAAGCGTTAATTATATATGTACATACATAGTATATAGTATATATAGTATAGCTTCCTTCAATAAGAGTTGTTATTTTTGATATTCAAAGAATTTATGAGATATTTAAATGATGAAATTTTTAATTCAATATAAAGATAAGAGAGTATGCCATTAACAGGCCTATTCTCACTGTTACCGGTAAAGTAATGTTTGTTACTGGTTACAATGTTTGAAAAAAAATTGGCTGCGCCTGCAAAAACTACTTCAAAACCTAAAATTGGCGAGAAACATGCTGAGTGTATCTTGCTATTGGAAAGATATTGTTCATCATGAGCTGTTACAAACTGGTGTTCTGGTGGTTTTTTGGACCTTTCTAAGGAAAAAAAAGATAGTGTACTAAGTAAAATTTTTACTGGAGACGAAACATGAGTTCATTGTTATGAATCTGCGTCGACACAAGTCTTCTTACAGTGGTTAAAAAGAGGTGCACAACACCATCCAAAAAGTTTAAAGCGTCATAGCCAGCTAGGCGACTGATCGCAACGATCTTTTGGAGCTCAGAAGGCATTTTTATAACTGGAGAATGCTACGCTACAATATTAGATCAACTAAAAGAGACCATTAAAAAGAAAATGGGGAAAAATTTACGTAAAGTATCGTGTTTTTGGGCGTCCACATGGCTGCCCCCAAAAGTCGCGTTGCATTTGCTGTCATGCATAAGGTGGGCTACGATATTTTTATTCACCCACGCTACTACAGCTTTGCTTTCTGCCACGTTGTGCTCTGCCAAACGATCGAAAACTTGCATTTTTACTTGCCAAAACGCTTAAAGGCATCGGGAACGACTGAAAAGTCCAGTTCCGAGGTGGTGTAAGCTTCCAATTCCTGGCTGAAGCACATACCCGAGATCAACCTAATACAGTTCACTACTGAACTTCTATAAAAACCAGATGGCTCATTGAATAAATTCAAGGGTATTATATAACATCGTCTTTCTCTCATTCTAAACATTCTCTCCCTTCTAGCCACCAAGCTTTCACAGCAGGGGTAAAAAATTTATCACCGATGATAAAGTCAAGATAAAGAGCATACATTTTCTTATGAGAATATAAATTAATTAATTGAAAGACATGAAACAATGTATCCTTCCTGCCGGTAAATACATTAAAAGGAAAAAATATTTTGGTTTATTTTCACCCCTATTCCGGGAGCATAAGCTCCCTCCTAATAATGGTAAACTTATACTTCATTAAAAATAAATTTCAGTAAAAAAAATTCTAAATATAAAAAAAAAAAATTAATTAAAAAATAAAATTTTTTGATTTTTTTTTTTTTTGTGAAGGCACTTTGTATATATGTACAAATTTTTTCAAAACCATAATTCCACGAATTCGAAAAGCAAACAATTTTATTTTTAATTCAGACAGAAATAGCAATAAATATGTACAAGGAATCGCATGGAATTTTATTGCAATCGTGAATGTGTGTATGAGTGTGAGCAAATATTTTGAAAAAAAAAATTTAAAACCTGTAGTTTTCATCTACAAAAACAATGTTATGTTTATTCAGAAAATTTAAAATTTTATTTTTTTTTATTTTCAGCACGCAACAGATGCGCCGAAATACAACTGGAAGAATAAGTAAATATATTAGAAACTACAACAACGCAACCACCACTAAAACATATACAAAAAAAAAAAAGTAGTATAAAACGCATGAATACAAAATAAAGCATTTCTTATAAAATAAATTTGTTTTTACTAAAACCTATAGTACTTTTTTATTACAACTACTAGGATTATAGTAAAGAACAGAAACAATTTTACTGAAACTGCGATCAAAACACAAAACAACATTCCATAACACTGCGAGGCAGTAGAGAGAAAAATATAAATTTAACTACTACCAATCAATATCGACTATTGAAAGTACAAAAGTTCCATTTTTCAACTAAAAAAAAACCTACATACATACATACATATATATGTGAGAATAGCATAAAGTTATATTAAAGAAAAAAAATCACAAAAAAAAATCCAAAATGACGGAAACTAATGCATTTAATAATGACGAGAAATCGAAACGCAGCAGACGCCACAGTAGTAGCAGCACCATTAGCAGCGGCAGCAAAAGTGGCAGGCGACAACGCGCACATAAACGTTGCTCCATCAGCGCATTCATCGGTCAGCTGTTCTTCAATTTCATCAGCAAAATCATACGGCTCGTATTCCAATTGATCTATGGCGTTAAGGGCGAAACCATGCCGGCCATTACCGATCCCATATTGCTCGAGTCGGCCACTTCATTGGCGCGCAAAATACGCAAACAGGAGGTGAGTTGCCTTAACAGCTATGCATATGCAAACATATGTACATTTGTATATACATATTATAGTCAGAGATTCAATAAACGGCTTTGCCCATTTCATTGCCAAAAATTAACTGCTTCCTTTTTCTTTAATGGCGATTGTCGCTTATCGATAAATCGATTACAACATCTTAGTAGTTAACAGCTAACATAACACTACGTATGTATTATACAATATATGTTACTGTATTTTATGAAGTGTATACACTAATTTTATATACACGTGTATTACAATATGCAAATTTTAAATTTTTTTTCCTCCAACAGCTCACGAGCGTGCAAGTTGTAGAAGCTTTTATATGCCGCATTAAAGAGGTTAATCCAAAACTCAATTGCTGTGTGGACAATCGCTTTGATGACGCACTGAAAGATGCTGCCGAAGCTGACAAACTCATCAAGTCCGGTACACACACCGAGGAGGAGTTGGAGAAGACCAAACCGTATTTGGGTGTTCCAATATCGACTAAGGACTGCATTGCGGTGAAAGGTGAGAATATTCTTTAATTTTTTTTCTTTATGGTCAGACAAAAAAGCGGGTGAATTAATGTGATTGCTTTAAAACTGTGCTTTGGATGTCCCGAATACCGTCCGATGCTATGACAATTAAAGCAGCCGCTGAAGCCGCGCTGGGCTCCTCCTACAATTTGTGGTGTGCGTCTTGATATTTTCCTCCACAAATGGAGGGAACTATAGTTTTTACTACGGGGAGCTTTTAGTTCGCGTCAGAAATACGCTCGACGAGCTTGACTTTACCTGCTGAATAGGGACGCAATTAGAAAAATTAATTTTCTATTATTTTGGATATTGGTCGGCCCAGCACTCGAGTTTTCGTCATTCGAACGATAGTACGTAATGCTTCGGTTAACGGTTCTATGTAACGGCATAAAATAAACGAAATAGATATGTATATCAAACTTCTTGGAATGAGGAGACGAATTAACTGTACATCTTCGTACACGATAACACAAGTTATGATTGAGATATTTTGGTGAAACTTTTTTCACACATTGCTTGGGCCATGAGTAAGGAAGTTGAAATCAGTCCGACTTTATATTTCTGGCTAGCCTTATCTCTACAGCATAGTATACACTGGATATCTCGAAAAAAGTGCGACGTTCACTTTGCCACGAATTAAATTGAACCTCCATCTAGTAGCTCTCACTACACGTCGATGAGAGGCGTAGCAGCCTAAGCAATCTTTCTTTTTTTTTTGTAGAGACTTTCTGTTCGGAGCTCCATGAGAGTAACCATACTACCCATCTGAATTCAACATTGAAAGCAGTATTTTGAGTGTCTTTTCGGTTGTGTAGTGATGGTCCTTCCGGGTTTCACTCTCGACGGTGCAACGTTTGCCGAAAATGGAAAAAGCATGACAAGAACTGGGATTATTAGTATCCTGGCAGGTACATTATGGTCCCACATGGTGGCATAAGTAAGCTGATGCCAAACCAGTTCCTTACCTGCCATTTAAGTGATTATCGGCCGAACTTCTCCTTTTTTTGTCTTTGTCTGATCAAGGTTCAAACCCATAATCATTTCACCATTAAAAAATATAAAAATATAAACATTTAAAACTTTAAAATTTGTCTTTAATTTTTTGCAGGACTCCTCCACACTGCCGGTCTGTATGCGCGAAAAGATGTGCACGCCACTGAGGACGCCACCGCTATGGCGTTAATGCGACAAGCTGGCGCCATACCCTTCGCACTCACCAACATCTCGGAAGTTTGCATGTGGTGGGAGAGCAACAATGTAGTGCACGGGCGTACAAGCAATGCTTACGATTCCAATCGTATTGTGGGCGGCTCCAGCGGCGGTGAGGGTTGCATACAATCAGCTGCCGCTTCACCGTTCGGTCTGGGCTCTGATATTGGTGGATCCATACGCATGCCGGCATTTTTTAATGGCATCTTCGGTCATAAGCCAAGCAAATTGATTGTTTCCAATAAAGGACAATTTCCAATGCCCTTCTCTGATGAGCAAAATTCATTTTTGGGTATTGGACCGATGTCACGTTTTGCCGAGGACTTAAAACCGATGTTGCGTATTATAGCAGGTGAAAAGGCAAAAGAATTGCGTCTGGATGAACCGGTAGATTTGCAGAAGGTGCGTTTCTTCTATCAGGAGAGTGACGGTGGTGGCCGTTTGGTATCGCCGGTGGACGCTGATCTATTGGCAGGCATGCAACGTACCGTACAACATTTGCGACAAAAGGTTAAACCTGTGTCGGTGGAAAAAGTGCAGCTGGAGCAATTTCGTCAATCCACAATTATTTGGTTTGCCAATATGAAAGATGATTCCGGCTACACTTTCGCACATCAGCTGGGCGATCTCAAAGTGTCCATTAATCCCTATGTAGAGTTGGTCAAATGGATATTTGGCGCCTCCAAGCACACTTTCATCGGTCTGCTAACCGCTATTATGGATAAGACACAAGTGCAATATGGCTCCAGCAAATACAAACACATGGTGCAGAAACGTGATGAATTACGTGCCGAAATGCAGGAACTCCTAGGCGAAGATGGTGTTCTACTTTATCCCACACATCCCACCGTTGCACCCTATCACAATGAACCCATCTTCCGTCCCATCAATTTCTCCTACACCGGTATTGTGAATGTGCTGGGCTTCCCCGCCACTGCCGTGCCTTTGGGACAACTCGGTAGTGAGGGTGTGCCTTTGGGTCTGCAAGTGATTGCCAATTTTAATAACGACAGGCTGTGTTTGGCTGTGGCCGAAGAGTTGGAGCGCGCCTTTGGCGGTTGGGCGCGTCCGGAAGTAAAGGTTTAAAAGAAGTTAGAGTAGTTGTAGAAGTATTTGACATATTATATATACATACGTACATCAAAGAGAAAGTTACTTGCCGATGTCACAAGCTAAGCTGAGAACCTTATATTTGTATTGCGAAACTGTTATACTGTGCGAAACTCTTATACTATGCGTGTAAAGTAAAGAAAAAAATGTTTTTGTAATATATATAATTTGCATACATACATATATACGTACATATGAAATATTTTTGTGCAGATATATGTACATATATAGTGAAACTCTTGTATTCTCGTGTGTACATACATATTATATGTACTCGTATATGTATATGAATGTACTCGTATAATTTTCTTTGAAATTTAACTTAATAAACTATATACGTATATATTGATATATATATATATAACATACATATATACATATATATTGTATATGAGTAGATCTATGTAATTTAATAAATACCTTATATACACGTAACTATACATATATACCACAAGTAACTGTTAAGCATTTAAATGCATAAAATAGACTAACATGTTGTTATTGTAATAAGTTACCAGTAAACTGTATTTAAATACATACATATATACGTGAATTTGTTTGTATTAAAGTAAATATTTTTATAAAAATAAAATTTATGTACATACATATATATACATACGCTCGTATTTATGTTTTCCTATTCGGAAAATTCGTTTTATATGCGAAAGGGTGGAAAGTTAATCAAAGAATCTTCATAGAGTCTTCATACACAAGCATTTCGTCTTCTCTCTCTCTCACTCTCTTTCTCTCTCACTCTCATCTATCTAACTCACTATTTTACCTTATCTCTCTCTCTCTCTCTCACTCTCATCTATCTAACTCACTCTTTACCTTATCTCTCTCTCACTCTCATCTATCTAACTCACTCTTTCACCTTATCTCTCTCTCTCTCACTCTCATCTATCTAACTCACTCTTTCACCTTATCTCTCTCTCTCTCACACACCGGAGTTGTCCCTGTCACCCTTTCGGCGGCCTAATCCCGATATAACGCGGTTTGTTGTGTCGTACGGTGAAAAATTGGGAAAGTTCGGAGAGATAGCAGTTTACTTTCAAACAAGGACTACCAATATACTGACCAGACGCCTAAAACGCCCACCGGTGGGAGAGGGAGTACAAAATTTGAACGAATAGGAGAAGATACCACAACAAAAAACGGGAGCAGCGAGGATTCGCATTTATGTTTTTTCTTTGTTGGTTGGTTTCCCCGATTTAAATAGTGGGTCCACTCTACCCTTTTCCCATATACAAGATATAGTTGGAGTAGTTTGTGACAGATTGGGGACCTTTATGAGAAATTCTGCACTCGCTGGACCTAGATGGGTTTGGAGATTTTCGCCTTCAGATATGGTAAAATGAATAAAATTTCAACCCGGTCATTGCGTCACGTCGGGTTTGACATTGATTTGACGTTGACCCAAAGCTTAGTTACGACAGAGTTTGCTTGGTTAAAAAAATTGGCAGACTTCCCCAATTTGACATGTCGGGATGAAGAGGACGCCAATAGTCGTGACTGTCATTGTATGAAACACGGCATTCGCCAATGATAAAATCGTGGGTGTGGGGAGGGAACAGGAAGCGTTCTCTGTAAATTCTGTGAAGCCGGACGTGTGTTGCTGCTGTACCCATGCGGAAGATGGATCTGGATGTGGATGGGGACTGTGGTGTAAACCCTGCTGCAGGAACTGTGTTGGACCTTGGAGATCTGTTGATGGTTACCCGTGGAGGCTTAAGACCCATTTGAGCGCAAGCCGTATGACACCACGTAACATATGATCTACTCCCTTTAAGTCTTAGACCTGAACAAATTTTAAGATGACTCCGCGGCGTATGAGTAACATATACCCATTGTTACTCAAACGCCCCGGACTGAAAATTGTATTCTACTACTAATTCAACCTACCCAATGACATAATGCAGCAATATTTCTTCGTGTTACGAATATATAGCTTTTATTATAAAAAAAATTACATGTTGTGTATTATAATTATTTTCTAAAACTAATTAAACATTAGAAAAAAGTGTACGAGTATAATATAAGCGAGGGAAATGCTATGTTAAAGCATACAGCAATTGTATACATTTACATATGTATGTATGTTTGTATAAAAGCATATTTGATAAATGACAAAAATCATACGAAAGTGATAGTAATTGTTGACATATTTGGAGATAAATATAAATATATTATATGAGTGTGTATGTTCGTGTGTGTATTTTGCGTGCTTTGCACTATTTAGTATATATGTATTTTATTTGCAATAAACATATTTATATAAGGAATTATTAGCAAAAAGTAACTTAGTAGTAGTAATTCATTAAAATAGTTAAACCAATAAAACTAATATAGTCTACAACAGTTAAGGGGATAAAATGTTTATCTTTCACATGCCTTTTTCTTTTTTTTTAAAATGTGTGTAAATATTTTAATGTATGCATTTACTTTTTGCAATTTTTTGTTACACAAATATCTAGTTATGTATATAATTCTGAGTGGGTATTTCTGAAAATATAAATACCTTACATTTTAAAAACTTTTATTACAAGTAATTTATTATTCGTTACCTTCTCAAAAGGATTTTCATTTTATTTTCAAGTAATCAAATAAAAATATTTAGTTATAAAAAAAAAAACTTACATTTCTCAAAACTACTAATTCTTTCTTTTCAATGAACGTTTCAAGTATCGTAAAGCGATTTCTTATGAAACAAATAATAACTAAGCAAGTAAAACACACAAACGCTTAGTGTCACTGCAGATATTAATTTCTTATAATCATTTTTGTTTCTATTTCTAAAGCTATCCCTGTGCTTTCCTAATAAAAAAAAATAAAAAAGACTTTCTGCTCGTCAAAAATATCCTCATTTTCTTCAACAGCCATTAATCTTCCAAACCCTCAGAAAATGTCTGCGCAGTAAAATCCTTATTCGTTTTCTTTACGATATCGATATATTTAGTATTTTTTTTTTTGTTTTTAAACCTTTCCCCCCAAAGATTGTATCAATTTCAGAAGTTCTGATCTTTTCGCGCTTATTATATCCTTATGCAATGGTCCCACTCCTTCCACACATTCATACCGATTCACATAATCTGCAATGTTATCTGTCATGCAGATAACATGTATGCCACAATCGTAACCATTTGCTTGTTGCAAGCAACGTATTGGTTTCATATGGCATTGGCGACAATTCAAGGCATCTTTTATTCGTTGGACGAATTGATGTGATGCTGTTGAGTTGTTGTTGCCCCAAGAATCAAAATGGAAGAACGTTTTCTCAGGTTGTGAAAATACCAACAGCGACCAATGGGTACCACCAGCTTGTGTTGATTCATTATCGTTAAGCGCAAAGAATATAAAAGGCTTGCGTGTTGCTTCCAATTGGTTTAGTAATGTTTCCAATTCACCATCGTCCATTAGCTTCATGCATTGTGTAACTTCTGGTGCCACAAATAATAAATCAGGATTGTTTTTATATTTAATTTTTTCCAGGTATTCATAATAGAATGATAGTATTTGGTCATTCAACCAATGTGGACCTTGTAGTAATTGTACATCGCTCATACGCAAACATGTCTCATTAAAGCTGAGCGCTATGGGATCCGCGTGCGTGTAGGAACTCATTCTCACCGTTGCTTCTTCACCGTTTTTCTTATTTTTATTCCGAGCGCTATCTTAGCAGTTGCACTTTTACTATCAATCTCTTCGATTTCCTTTGCTTCTACACGTCGTCGCCTAATTAGTGAATATATTCTCCAAAATTTATATTTATGATCTTTCGCTGGAAATCACGCAATTTTCATTCGGTTGGACTAATTAGTCGAATTGTTGATTATATGAAATTTTAATATGGAAATTTATTTTTAACATATTTATTCGAATTTTGATTAATAAATCACTATTTACCTAGCTTTTTAGCGTTTAAATGCTGAACGTCTTTGCATTTATTTGCTTTGATTTCTTACAAAACAAAAATATACGAATATGTATATTAAAACGACTACCAACGAACACTTCAAATTCAGTTTTACTTTTTTTCTGACGGCAATTGCTTTTCGCCAATTAATACGCAATAAAATTAACAAAATGCAATTGCTACTTCTCTATTTTGTTCTATGTTTCGCTTTCTGAATTAAATTGTGAGATGCAAACTCATGCACATACACATGTATGAACACCGGTACAACTTCAACTGAAGCGGCGAAATGGCAGCTGCCGAAATCTGAGTTGCCAGATGCAAAAATAATCGTGGAACTAGTTGGAGATACTGCTAAAACGGCCAATAAAAATGCGAAGATGTGGTGATGGATTCGTTTTGATATCAAAGACCCGCCGTGAAGTTCAGGAAATGACCGAAATGAATGAACGTCCGGGTACAACTCGCATTATAGGGTGTTTAACATTAGATGCCTTTATAGTAAGCGCCTAAAGCATACTTATGAGCGATGCTGAAATTGTGTTTAGAGCCAAAACGCCAGGGTGGGCAAGGAAGGTATCTCGGCACAACTGTCGTAAAAGTTGGCATCCACGATGAAACATTCCCAAAGCATTTGAAGCTGATTGCCTTCGCTTTAGTACTAAATTCCAGCACAAGAAAAATCATCAAGCTATTTGGCTGCCCCCAGATCGAAAAGTTCACAACCAGATCGATTATATTGTGTTAGACGGACGTAAGTAAGTAAACTCCGAAAACCAAAAATCGACTCGAACCTAGCCAAATCAACAAACGAAGCGTATGGGTATGGTAGTAAACAAGGGCAAGACGAAATATCTTCTATCGTCAAACAAATAATCATCGCACTCACAACTTGGCTCTCACAACAGTCGTACTTTGAAGTCGAGGATAAATTCGGAACCACAATACCAAGAGTTGCTTACTTGGAATTAGTAAACAATTGAAAAGTAAAATCCCCTCTTTGACGAGGACCACATCTGATGAATAGACATTAGGAGATTTCGAGAGAGTTTGGGTAATTTTTATGGTCTTTTGCGTATTGACAACGGCGAGTACCGCATTCGATTAAATGATTAACTGTATGCGGCATTATTGACATAGTTTAGCGAATTAAGAGACTGCAGGTACACTGGTTGTGATCTGAAAGAAAGCGCACGCCCCGGCTTTGAGAGGCAGGGATGGCACTGTTGTTAACTCATTTATGGTCGCGTGTGAAAAGCCACGTTTAACTGCAAAAAGGGTGATACAGGATCCGGACGACATAGAAAATAAACATGTGGTTTATGTCCGAAACACTAGATTGGCTCTATAAAAAAATACAACAGACTAAGAATACACCTATTGGAAAGTTAACCGAAATAATGTTGTCTGGCAACACTTTAGGCGAAAATTACCAAAACAAAAGCGAATAAGCGAACATTCTACAATTTTTCCCCCTTTCTAATGCGAGATGAAAACACCTCAAGGGCAAGTATTGAAAAAAAAACACGAATGGTAACTAATGACATTAAAACTCACCTGGTTTGTTATTAATTTGCGTCCACTGTTATAATTTGCATTACACAAATAAAAAACACTTTTTTGAGGGTATAGCACTTTATTTTAAACAAAAATTTGAAAGCACTTGGAGAAATTAAAGAAAAACAAATTTCCGACAGCTGTTGTAGGGAATTCGCCGCGAAGTATCTCCAAGGGGAGGCTACAGAGTTGCATGCATTATAAAATATTTAACCCTTTAAAATCTTTCGGGGGTTGTGTACGCAAATAATTTGATATTAGGTTTGACAATTTTTTTTATAATAAAGCGCTTTGTATGATTAAATAATTATCTAGTGACGTGGTTAAATATAGATTTCTTGCGGATTTAGAAAAAAAGAGATAAAGATGCTGTTTATGCCTAAGCTTAGAACATTAAATGAGGCGCAAAATCTTATTTGCATTATTATGTAATTTTTTGAATTTATTTTGGATTTTTCTTTCTTTTTATATCATAATAAACAAATTTTAAATTTATTATTACTCCTTTATAATTTATTAGAATATCGTTTAAATTTATTTCTTCAATCGCATTCCAAATTTGGCTGATGCAATATATATAGATTTTTTCATCAATTTTTGTTTTTGTCTGATTTAAGTATTTCTTGATTACTCTGCCTAGAAAGCAAAATAAAATGCAAAAAAGTTGATGTTTTCATTTTTTTCATTTCTAACTGCATAAAATTGTTTAATGTTTACTTTATATCAGGCATTAGCTAGGGGGTTGCGTTTTTTCTGCAGACTTTCTGCCGACTAAAGATTTTAAACATTTTTTCGCGGCGCTTAACACATTTTAAGCTAGCTATAACAGGATCTTGTTCTATTCTAATTCTTATCTATTTAAAAAAAAGCAGACAAAATTCAAAATAATAAACTTATATATGTATGTGCATCTAAATATTTAATAAAAATAGAATATAAGAAAAAAGTAAAATTATTCTAGAGGATAATTATAGAACAGCTGATGATTCTTTTAATCCCGCCGACATATAACTGTTTATGTATTTATATAAATACATGTGTATATATGTAACTATATTTTGTACCATATATATATATACATCTTTTCGAAATAATTTTTTTTTATGTACATACAAACATAAATATGTATATACACTAAAATATGATAATACTGGAAATGCCTTCAAAAAGATATGCATATATGTACATATGTACACATTTACATATATGCATTTAATCTCGTTAGTTGAGCAGCTAAATACTTTATTTCTGAGCAAAAGCAATGAAAACATATATTTTTATTTATAATTAATGTTATATACCTACATACATACATACTTATGTGTGAACAATATACCAGTAAAGTCGATCAGTTAAGTTTTTCAAATAGTTTAATATGCACAGATACATACATAGGCTCTTTTAAAACATAAACCACTTAAAATGAAGTGGCGTGCAAAAATATAGCAGCTAACTTCGTTTTCTTTTTTATACGCCAACCTCTCGAAGACACTGGAATCAGCAGCGAATAGCGCGCCTTTCATCCTTGTTTGGTGTCAATTTGAAATACGAAGTATAGCCAGGATCTTCCTTACTGTTGGGAAAACTTTCAATGCCGTAGCATTCTTAACCATTCGTAGCCGCTGTCTCTTGATTCGCTCAACTATATGAATGTCCCCGCATATCTCGTATGATATAAATCTTACTAAAAAAACTTTCGCCCGGAAACTCCCAAAGTAGAATCATCAAACTTCGTCGTCGTGCATGTCTCCGCACCATACAAACTGGTCGACCAAGACTCTTTCGTCTTTGATAATTTAACGTATTCTCATTCTCTAAAGTCAGTCGCAAGGGTAGATGACGTTAGTACGCCAGCTTAGTTGCCGCTCATCAATCTAATGCGGCCTTGCTCTACTGCGCTACTTATTGTACAGAAGGAGAGCTGAAGGAGTAGTGCAGCAATCATTTTGGAACGCTTCGAAGCTAGCGTTGAGACTAAATAGCTCGACAAACAGATAGAATGATCTGAAGACAACGAGCAACGTGACTGCATTAAGGTGAAATCATCTCTCAGGAGCCAGGAGCAGTGGCCAAAAGGAATAGCCCCTCAGGCCAAAGCACCTCGGCTTCGAGGAAAAGAAGAGATACAGCAAAGTAACACAGAATAGTGGGGTATAAAAATTCCAGCACTCGTGTCCCTCTTGTAAAAACCCTAACCGGGGCAGGATAGAAATCGTATACCTAAATCCCCCAAAACCCGAACAACAGAAACAAAAGAGCTAATGGAATCAGCCTCTAAACAGAAATATGAAATCAAGAGTCCAAACTCCAACATTAACCAGGTGATGAAGTTAGCAGCTTCACGACAACAGAAAACCCGCTCAGAACACTAGTTGTAATAACATATGAGTTTCGGAAAGATTGGCGGAAGCGCTTGTCGTTTACCCTGATCTCTTTTGGACCCGAACTACTTGTAGCAGATCAGTTTATCAATGTAATACCAAAATTATGTGACCTGTCATTGTATTGATTATATATCTTCTAAACACAATATCACCGTCTTCTTCACGATGAGGGCAGACAAGGAGCAAATGGTTTTGGTATCCCATTCCACCACAATTCCATTTGACTAGAGGCGTACTTTATTAATATAATGCAACGTTTTGCAGTAAGCAGGATAAAAAACAGATATTTTTCTCTGTGACAATGACTAATTCTTGCACAACACTGTAGATGTATTATTTACATGCTCTTGGTGCTGTGATTAATGTTATCAGCAAATTAAATATTTTTATTCCTGTTACTGCTTATATGTTATGTTTTCGTGTCTTTGGCGCGTGTATATATGTATACATGTACATATATGCGTACTTGCACTGGCAACTCGGGTGAAAAAAAAACCAATTGTAACCGTCTGCGAATTTCTCGATTGAGTTCAAAATTTTGCGCGTTTTTCCACCAAAATATTATGTGCAGCCCTAGCAGGGTTCTTTAACCTATACTCTGAGATCAGCAATAATTATAAACTGTCTGAGAATATTTTAATTTTCTTCAAGCAAATGCACGTAGACCCTCGGATGGAATTATTTATTTAATTTTATATGAATACCTTCTTTTTTTTTCTGCAATGATTAAAACAATATATTTTAATATTGTTACGATTTTACTAAATCAACCTCGATGATTTCCTGAATCCTTCGGGTACGATCTCTGGATTGTTAAATAAAACTCGCCAACTTAATTTGCAGTTTCTTTCTTTATAAAGATTCTATCTAATGTCCTTTATTTACTCAGTGATTTACAATTCAATCACAAGACACTTTACTAGCTACAATCACTTGCATCAACTTTCACAATTTACTCTACTTAAATGTAATTCCCAACGCGTTCACTTTACGACTTAACTGATGTTAACGCCACGAGCTCACTTTGTGACTAACTTGACTTGCAGCTGAGTGTCGCCTTATATAGCAGTCGGCTGCTCGCAGACGAAAGCGTAGAAGCATCGAATTGTTCGCTATGGAAGGTTCTTGTTTTATCGTTTCTAGAATGTACTAGTTATCGGCTTCTCTCTTTCATCTGACATTCGCCTCGCATTTTCGC